CTGAAAAGAGAACAGACCACAGCCTTACTTACAGCCAGATGGCTGCCCAGGTACTCTGCTTGGGAGGTCAGCTTGCTTTCAAATTATCCCGCTCACCTGAGACTGTTAAAAAGGCTCCAGAATTATCAAAGCCATGTCACCACTGTTTCTAGAGTTGAAGTTCATAGTGCAATGAAAGTCTCATAAATGAAACTAGCAAAAGAGTTAAGATTATTTTGTTAAAATCTGGTAGATCCTGATGTAAATATGCCGATAAATTCTTAGAAACATGGCACACATGAAAGAGCTAAAACTATACTTTAAAAATAACAGAGTATGATTCAAGAATACTCAGACTAGAGGCTTCGGTGGGTTGTTTGAGGGAAAGGCGTGAAGTCAGGACTTAGATAGACAGATTATAAAGGAAGTCAAAGTAAGCAGAGGAAAAGGGTACCAAAATGACAGCTTCAGAATAAGAAGTAAGGGAATAAAGAAAACAAAGGGGTGTGTGTGTGTGTGTGTGTGTGTGTGTGTGCATGCATGCGTGCACATGTGCATGTATTATATGATAAATCCATGGAAAAAGGACTCACAATTTGCAAAGGAATAATTCATGGTCATACCACTTTCTGTGTCCAAAGCTAACTTGATTAGTATCAGAAGGAAAGTCAATGTTGAAACAGTCCTTCCCACATCTGCTACTTCCATAATGCCTATGCAACTGTCATAAATTAAGAGTAGAGAAGGGCACAGGGCCCATTGTCAAAACAAACAGGCAATTCTGGGTTCCAAGTTTCATATGATTTTCCTTGAGCCTAGAGTCGTGAAGACTCCTTGTCCTAACGTGGCCCATTCTAGCACTGTAATGGGATAACCCACTCACCTGGATCCTGGCCACAGCCCTGCCCTCTGTGGCAAGGTACCTTGGCAGGGCTGGGTCATGAGAAAACCTTGTCTCTCTAATGATCCAAGCCTTGGGAAAAGAATATGAGCTCTTAATATTAAGTGATTATAGCTAGTGACACTAAAAGAAAACCAACACCATTAACTGCAAGGGGTTTACATTGAGTGATGTCTTCTGTATTATTCAAAGTTGTCTATTCTGCATAAAAATCTTCCTCACTGACTCTATTCCACACTCCTTAAGGCCAGCAACTATGTTTTGCACTTTCTGTACCTCATGTAGTTCAGAAAATCATGTCCATGGTTTTGCGTCTCTTATTTCTTTGCTTCATAAGACCAGACCAACAAAAGGACCCAGACAGACTTGCCTGGCCAACTTTTGTTGTCTGTCCTTCCTGCTTCTCAATTCCATATGGTTCAGCCCTTCAGGTCAGACAGGTGCTGTCTCTTCCTCTTGCATAGTGGGGTATGCTTGTATCATCTGGTGATTAGGCCTTGAGCCTAAACTCAGTGCTACACCTTGCCAGAAAGCTCTATACTGTTGTTCAAAGCACTGGCCCAGCCAATAATAGAGTGGTGCCTTGCTTCCCAGACCTATTGTCCTGTGTTTATTCATCATTCAGTGATGTCATGAGAAGGTCCAGGCAGCATTTAGAAATGTCCAGTGTCCCTGGTCTTACCAGCACTAAAATCTCACTATAAACTGCAAATATACTTGTCTTTTAACAATGTCTTGGATACTTAGAGGTAATCTTAGATAGAGAAAGGAGATATGGCTGCCTCTCGTGTTCCCAGGACTCTGCCTGGTGGGATCCTCTCAACTCTGTGTCCCTTTTCGTCTTGTTCAACTTCCAACCTGCAGCATGGCCAGTGGTTGAGCCCCTTACAATCCTTGAAAGGCTTATCACCTTCAATAATGTCTATTACTGATGTTGGCTCTTTCTCTTAGATTTACTCTGCCCAGGAAAGCTGTTACTTAAAAGAATCACTTCAAATTCAGTGCCAGATGTCCTCAGCTAGGCTATGTCTATGGACTAGAACAGTGGAGTTCATCTGAAGCTCCCTTTTACTTCATATGTCCTAAGTCAGTCTACTATAGCTCACTTTGTATAGCACTTGGGATGAATCATTTAGAATTAGGACTTCCATTTAGTCATTTAACAAATAATTATTGATCCTTTACTCAGTGCCAGATATCAGTCTGGGTGCTGAGAATGCAGCAGTCAACAAAACAATGTCCCTGAACTCAGAGACAGTGGCAGGAGACAGATAATGAGCATATAAACAAGTATATATCATTTAAGATAGTACTAATTGTTAGAAAATAAATGCACCTGTAAAGCTAGAGCGACTCAGCAGTTGAGTGCTATATAGATAGGGTTGCTCTGAAAGGTCTATGAGGAGGAAACATTTGAGCTGAGACCGAAAGATGAAAACTATTTGAGTGATGATCTTAGGGAAGACTCTTCCAGGCAGGAGAAAATAATTTGCAAAAGCTTTGAAACAGCAATGAGTTACGCATGTTCAAGGAACAGACAAAAGACTTAGTCCTTAGAACATAGAAAGCAAAGGAGAAAGTGTAAAAGATGATAATAGGAAAGACAAGCTGACACCCCAGGCTGACACCCAATCACAGAGCATCCTTTAGGGAATTTTAATCTAGGGAATGAGCTGTGGTTTTTGTTTTTTGAGATGGAGTCTCACTCTGTGAGCCAGGCTAGAGTGCGGTTGTATGATCTTGGCTCACTGCAACCTCCACCTCCCAGGTTCAAGCGATTCTCCTGCCTCCGCCTCTGGAGTAGCTGGGATTATAGGTGCCCGCCACCACACCTGGCTGATTTTCGTATTTTTAGCAGAGATGGGGTTTCACCATGTTGATCAGGCTGGTCTTGAAATTCTGGCCTCAAATGATCCGCCTGCCGTGGCCTCCCAAAGTGCTGGGATTACAGATGTGAGCCACTGTTCCTAGCCGAGCCATGTTTTTAACAGTTCACACTGGCTAGAGCAAAGAGAGCAGAATAAAGCTGGCAAGAAGGGAAGCTGAAGGCAGGTGGAGAAGCTGTTGCAGCAGTGCCTGTGGGAGCTGGTGTTGGCTTCTATCAGGGTGGCAGCAGGAGAGACAGTGAGGAATGGCCAGGTATAATTGGTATTTTGGTGATAGGATTAACAGGACTGGCTCATGGATAAGATATAGGGGAGGAGAAAGAAGACAAGCCAAGATTTTTGGCCTCAGTAGCTTGTGCAGAAAATCAGATACTTGTGTTCTCCCAGTTAAGTTTGGTATGTCTACTGGGCATTAAAGTGGAGACATTGAATGAATTGTTTAATATAGCAGTCTGAGGGAAAAAATTAGGGCTGAATATGTAAAACTGTGGGTCACTAGCTACTTCATCTGCTAGATTCCAAGGTCAAAATATACCAACCATATCGTCTTTCTAGCCTCCTCACCACTTTATAATTATCAAAGCATCACTTGATAATTGTTAGACATGCAACTCTCTCGTATCCCAAATGGTTACAGTAATTGCTAATCTTTAGTTTCCAACCAGATGTTCTTATCTTTCCAGATGATTGATAAACTGTCTCTACATGCATTGTTTTCCAAGTCTCCTCACATTAGTTAATACTCATCTCCAGCCTCTTCATCCCCACTGCTTAAAACCCAGCTCACGATTTACATCCTCCAAGACACCTCCTGAGAAATGCTGCCCTCTCAGGGGATGATTTCATTTTGTTTCCTCATCAAATAGACAGGCATGGCCCAACATGTGATCCTGAACCTTTCTTTGAATTCAATTGTTTAGAGTATCAAATGGAAGTTCACACAGAAAAAAGGCTTATGAACTATAGTGTTGGTTTTTTTTTTGTTTTGTTTTTTTGTTTTTTTTTGTTTTTTTTTGAGACAGGATCTTACTCTGTCACTCAGGCTGGAGTGTAGTGGTGCCAACATAGCTCACTGCAGCCTCAAACTCCTGGGCTCAAGCGATCCTCCCACCTTGGCTTCCTGAGTAGTTGGGACTGCAGGCATGCACCTCCATACACAGCTGATTTTTAGATTTTTAATAGAGATGAGGTCTCCCTATGTTGCCCAGGTGGTCTCTAACTCCTAGGCTCAAGTGATCCTCCCACCTCAGCCTCCCAGAGTGCTCAGATTACAAGCGTGAGCCACTGCACTTGGCCATACATTACAGTTCTTATTTGATAAGCCAACAACAGCCCATTTACTCATTGAAAAGAGCTCTACAGCACGGAGATTCAGAATCTGAAGTTCCAAGGTGAGTGGGGATAGTATGGAGCCTTCTGCTGCAACAAGGAGATAAAGTCCCCATGGCAGGACCTGTGTTCACAAGTGGGCATTAACTCTGGTAGAATAGGAGCTACAGCTCTTCTTCCCAAATACAACTTTCAAATTACCTGATTTCTCTGGGTTCACTTGCATTATTATTATGGGAACTAGATTTCCATATCCATCAAGGTGGTTGTTTTTCACCTGGGTAGAATGGCCATGGTTTGAAAATGCAACCATCACATAGCATGAAAAGACTGGGGGCACTTTGCGGCAAAAATAAAAGGTGTTAATATGCTAGAGAAAGCCACCTTTGTACATCTTGCATTGATGTTTGTGAGGACCCTTCACCACATGGAGAGGAGAAGGCTAATTTAGAACGAAGCAAGTAGACAAAACCTTGCCAAAGAAAAAATTTAGGGAACAATTCTACCATTTAGAAATGGCCCAGAGATAGCATTAATAACTTGGTGATGATTTACAAAGTTCAATGAATATCAGTTTACGTGATAAGAAATGAAGACAAATCTATCATTCTATCTATCAATCTACCTACTTATGTATTAGATGGTCAAAACTGGTATTATATTGCTTTTGAATATTTAGAGACAATTTTCTATCCAGGTTTTTAAAAATGAATCATTATACCATCCCATTAATGATCAGTCTGCAGTTGTCAACTCTCAAAGTAAGATTGTTCATTTAAGAATATTTGAGGGCCACCCATTTATAGTACATTTATTAAAGGCACCAATTTGAAAAAGCAATTGAAGTCAAATATGAAATTTATTTTGTGTTTTTATTGAAATCATAAAGAAGAGAATATTCTTACCAGTTGCCTTTTGGATTTATGAACTGCTGCACTGCATAGCCAAACTGTTCACTTGAAGGACCGGAAAATATTTTTGCTTCTGGGAGACCAACATTGTATGCCAAACAACAATTTAAAATGCCTATTAAGAAAAATATGAAACAGCACATATTTACAATTCATAAATATAAGTGTGTCATATAATTCTCGAAGGCCATTTTTAAGAAAACTTGCTTGACCTAATAATTATTACTTATCAACGATTACCCAGAAAAAGTAACTACTGCTTTTTAAGTACTTATTTGGAGGCCTGGCACCAAGCTAAATACTACATATGCATAATTCATTATATTATTAATCTCTTCATGGCAACCTTAGAAGATAGTTACTAATATTATCTTTGTTTTGTAGAGAATTTTGAGGTTCCAGGGGATAAGCATATCTCACAGCTGGAAAGAGGTAAGGATGAAGGCAAAATTTGAACACAAGACTTAAAATCACTAAATTACTTCTAAGTATTCTTAAGTAATTTGAGTTATATTTGTCTTTCCCAAAACAACAAGCCTCTGAGCCACCCAAGGGCAAGGGCTGAAGAGTATCATCTATTTATTCTGAATCACCTTGAATATCTTGACATGGACTCTATATGAAACAGCTGTTGAAAAGGCATTGATGACTACATCAAAGGAGACAGAAAATCACAGCTCGTTGAAAATTGTATCATTTTCTTTCAGAAGGGATCATTCTCATTTTTGAGGATGAAAATGTAGGGATTGGTGTCATATCTTTTCTATTCCAGTGGGAACTGTCAAAAGTGGTTTTGTTTTTGAAGCTTCTTTCTGAATGATTAAGAAATGCTAATCATTTCAAAAAACAGAACAAAGACCAAGGCAGATAAAGCCTTGATAGACTTTATTTTTTTTTTAATTCTTATTTCTGATGGAAAGGAAGTGAAGGAAAGGATAAGGTAAATCATGATTCTGTGTCTGGCACTGACAGCATTAATGCTGCCAGTTCTTCATCCTACAGAAATAAGGTTGTGTGTATATTAATGCTCTCTCTGGAGATGGGAATGTGCCTCATGTTGCTTAAGATCAATATTTACCTTCGCAGACACTGAAGACAGAATGGACTCTTTAAAATTGACATCAAAGTTCTATTAAAATGTGCTGTCACAAAGAAATGTCCTACTTTCTAGGCAGCATTACAAGTGCACAGTGTTTCATATGTCTATTGTTCTAGGCACTAAAAGGTCAGAAGAAAAAGGCTCGCTCTTCCATTGGGCCTCTGCATTTCTGGGAGCAGATTCTGTAGAGTGCTCCAAAAGGATAATGAAGTCAGTGATGAAGCAACAGGGACTTAAAGTAGTTAACGTGCCTCTGTAAGTGCCAAAATCACTCTATCAGGGATTTGTCCACACAAGGAGTTCAGCTCTTTATTTCTTACAAATAATGTGCTGCCATGAAGAGAAATATAAGTACTTATTCTGAAATACTCTATAGCAAAATCTACAAAGCTTAACATCTGCAAATTTTCTCCTTAACATCTCTTTTTCATATGCACCATTGCTCCTTTTTATTTTTGAATAATAAAAAATGCAAAAGAAAATAACAGCAAATTAAGCAGAGAACCAGAATTGGCATGCAGAATACTGGTGTTTTCAATCAACATTTATCTTCACCCCATTGTGGAGAGCTCAATAAATGGTATTTGAATATGTTATCAATCATCCAACATACTAGCGTGGAGAGATGATGTCAAACTGCTTTCACTTTTAAAATACCTAATGCTGGAAAGGACACATGTGACTGTATATACAACGACCTCATTTTCCCCCATTAATTAGAACTGGGCAGATTATGTAATGGCAGGAAATTATGATGGAGTTCATTTTATCATTTAGCAGTTCAATTTTATCACATATATAGGCATATATGTGTTACTATATATGCATATATGTATATTATTAACTTAGGTCTTGCCATTGAACTGAGAATAAAATCCAATTTCCTCACTGTAGATTCAAAGGTCCTTCATGATCGAGCCCTGGTGTATCTTTCTGACTTCACTTCCCACCACTCTCCTCCTCCATCCCTGTATTCCAGTCACACTCACTTTCCTTCGGTTTTTTGAACACATGTAGCTCAGTCTGCTCATGCGCTTTGCAGCTGCCTGTTCCACTGCCTATAACATCCTCCCCCAACACGGCATGTTGGACTTTGCTCAAATAGGTTTCTGCTCTCCCTCTCCCCTCTGTGTAGCAGCAGCAACCTTCTTTATCACCGTATCACTACTGGAGCAATTATCCAAAATGATCTTATATATCCATATTATTTTGTCTGTGCCTACTAAAATGTAAGCTCCTTGAGGAGTCAAACCTTGTTTCTTTTATTCACTCTTACTTTCTCAGCACCTATGATATTTTTTTTTAATAAAATGCATTTTAATTACTATGTGTTCTTCAATAATGATTTGGAATATAAAGAAAACTGGAGGGAAAAATCATTCATAATCTTTTCATTCTACTGTAAGTACAGTTAATTCAGATGTATTTCCTTCCAGTATTTTTCCTCTATTTAAATTATAATGTTTATTCCAAATTGCATCCTACTGTTTCTTAATGCTTATGTCTGCCTATGTCAGAATCATCCTGACTCATTTGCGTGCCACAACAATCCTGTGAAACAGCAAAACCAAGCTATTATTAACAAATTACAAATAAAGAAACTGCAACTCATGAAGGCTAAATGTCTTTCTTGCGCAATGTCACCCACTCTGAGTCTAGGTTTGGCTTATCTCTCAACTTTATTGTCCAGAATTTCTATTAATAAATGATCTGCTCATTTTTACTCACAAAGCATGTCCTTTGTTATCACCATCCCTTCATTTCATTGATACTAAATCTCCTCTTTTCTGCTACTTAAATCTTGCCCTTTATATCCTGCCTCTTTTGATAAATCTGGACAATCTCAAGTCTCTATACTTTTCTCTTAATATGTATTTACAACTCAATTCTCTGTCATCATTTCACACTTGGCATATGATATCTAAATAGCTCATAAAAATTTAATGGAAGTATTCTGTCTAATTCAGCATCTATTTCTTCTTTGCAATCCCAATGCCTGTATCTTCTGATGTCTGTCCTCATAGCTCAACTGAATCATATGGATAATGAGAACCATATTTGGTTCACCTTGTTTCCTTCCCCCAAACCATGCCCATGTGTCTATACATACTTAAAAAATGGACCATTCAACATATGTTTATACAGCTCCTTTGTACCAGGAATTTTTTAAGGTACTGAGGATACTGCAAATAAATAAAACTAAACTCTCCCTGCTCTCTTTGCATTTCCATTATGGTAATTTTACTAAAAAGATGGCATCAAAATGTATAAGTGTTAAAATAAAGAGTGGTGAAAAGAGCCTTGAGCTCAGTATTGAGAAGAGGGTAAATCTAAGTTCAACGGTTTCACAGAGGAGGTAGCAATTAATCTGGATCTTGGAGGACAAGTTGGAATTCACTACATAAAGAGGAAGGCAAAGTTCATCCCAGGCACCAGAAACATCATGTTAAACAGGCCTAGGGTGTGAAAGAGAAGAGTATGGCGATGGTGAAAAGTCTGGCACAGAAAGTCATAGGTTGCTTCATTAATCTATACATTTCTAGTTCTCTATGAGATGCAGTGAGTCTTCAGCTGACTTGGGCTTTGCCAGGAGCCTATTATCACCCACAGTATAAATCTTCCTTCTTTGTCTTCATGTGAATGCCTGGAAATGCAATAATTGCATAGCAAACTCAACATATTTAACAAAGGTGATCTTGTTATACATGTGTTGACTATAACCAGGCCAAAGTATTCCAGTAAATCTCACCAAAGCTTACACCAAATACAAACATTTTACCTCATGTAGAGTTAACTAGTTTCCTCTATTTTCACACTATAAAGGAGATAATGTTTCATCCTAGATTATAACAGGCTGATTGCCATTTTAATATCCATAGGTAAACCAGATAATCAAATACAAGTTAACTACTATAGATTTCTTATTTTTCTTAGAGTCTGAGGCAGGAGGATAGCTTGAATCCAGGAGTGCAAGACCATCCTTGGCAGCACAATGAGACAACATCTCTATAAAAAATAGACAATTAGGTGGGCATGGTGGTGCATGCCTGTAGTTCCAGCTACTTGGGAGGCTGAGATGAGAGGATTGCTTGAGTTCAGGAGGTCCAGACTGCAGTGAGCCATGAAGGCACCACTGCACTGCAGACTGGGTGACAGAGGTTCTGTCTCTAAATCAAATAAACAAAAATTTACAGGATCTCCTTTTCTGAGGATTCCTGACCATCTCTGAAATAATTTTTTTGGAAAAAATTTAATAATTAATTTTAATCAATATGAAATGTATTCTACTTTCTTCTGGAGCCTGATTTTAAGTTATAATTCAAAAGAGAAATATATGATTGGGGATTGAATATAGTTAACCTACTTGTGTTCTAAAAATGTAGCGAAGGCTAAGGATGGCAGCTGACACATGTAATCTCAATGGCCGACTGAGACAGGAGGATCATTTGAGCCCAGGAGTTCAAGGCTGCAGTGAACTGTGATTGTGCCATTGTACTTCAACCTGGGCAACAGAGTAAGACCCTGTCTCCAAAAAAAAAAAAAAAAAAAAAAGCAGTGAAACTCAGAAAGGAAAAAGTCTTTTAACAACAAGAGCATAAATAATGTATAAAACAAAACACGTTATTTTATATTCAACCACAAAAATTTGGCAAGGGAAGTTTATTGATGTCTATGATATCAGTGTCAGAACTGAAGGATGCATTTTTTTAGTAAAGGGTGGCAAAAAAGAGTCTAACTTTTGTGGTCAATGCAAATTTGAGCATATCTATATACACTGAAGGGCCAGGGGTAGGGATGGGTTTTTCATAGAAGGGACTCATTTGCAAAAGGTGCAATGAGGGACATACATAGGAAGAAATTCAGGCTAAGAGAAAAGAGTAAAGGCCAAAAGCAAGAGGTGAACTTGGGAAGAGAGGTGTGGTTTTGACATAGCTTCTCAGATTGCAATTTGGCCCATTCCTGAAGATGCATGCTGCACTTCTAGGGGGAACAATGTCTCCATTAAATATTGAATA